AAGTCCAAAAAGCAAAACAAAATAGGAGGAGAGCAAACACGGACCTCCAAAACATCAGACGCGGGATTATGCACCACGGAGGAGCGAACATCCGTCGACAACCCAGCGCACAATCAACGGACCAACAAGCAGCACTAAAAACGTCAATCAGCATTCGACCGAAGGACAAATTGTATCTGCCGACAAGGTCATTGTATCGACCATAGAACTTACGAAATGATGACTCTAAAAGAGACCGCCGACACCCTGCTTCTGCAACCTGTCTGTCAATAATTTACCTCGTCTCAGAAACTGCTCACACACAGAACACGCTTTTTGCACATCGAATCAACTGAGATACACAAACTCCGCATGCAGGCGATGAAGGCATATTGCTGCATAAGTAAGGGAAGTTGACGATAAAAAGTTAAAGTCATCACGTGTATCACAAAGCTTGGTTCTTAGATTCCCATTTATTTAATGTATTAGCGCATTGTTGTCTTCGCCAAAGCCGTTTAAATATGAAGCCCGCATTACAAAGTACATTGTATCATGGCTGCGGTGTTTTTCCTTTGAAGTCAAGTGTACAATAACTGGAGACACACAGATGGGCGTATCCAGAAAAAAAACTGTGCCGTGTATATGGGCGGAGCCAGCAAAAACTGTGCCGTGTAAATAAATTATTGAACACCAAGGCGATTTCATCATTTTAAATTACATGTATATTGAATCTGAATTACAGAATGAATGGGCATTGTAATATACAAATGCAAAATTTCTGCAAGTGAAATAAAGGTCTTTCACATAAATTACAGTACGTATATATATATATCCCAAACTACGAAATGATTTTACGGAGCTCTTCAAATATTCAATCCACAGCAACGAGAAATCAATTTCTTGACATGAATTCCACACAGAAATATATTAAAATATCCCACCTATTGTAATATAGGGCATACGCTGTACTGCATCCACAGATGAAGAGTAATTGACCTTGACACAGCGTTTTCGTGAATACAACAGCTCGAATATGTCAAATGATCAACGGGTATCTTTTTTCTTGATTTTGAATTTACCTTCTTCAACTTTTTTTTTCTTCTTTGATATCCAAAGGTTTTCTTGTGAATTTCATTAACAATCCAGGGACGGATCCAGCAATTTATGAAAGGGGGGACGCTCCAGGTCGGTGCCCCCAGCACTCATGCACAGAATCACACCTCGGCCACTTTAAGTCCGTAGCTACATTTAAAAGAAAGGGGGCCTCCAAAAACAGTTGACAAGGAAAAAAACCCCTTGCACCACACTCTAAAATCCAGGAGGGGGGGGGGGGGGTGTTGGGATGCTGCAATCCGACGTCCTTTCTCATGAACACACGCACGTAAGATGTTTATCAAAAATACTGACAGAAAGGAGAGATTATCTATGCGGTCACCTGACAAAAACTACATTTTCTATTGGTGTAATTAAAAATCATGCTGAAAATCTGTGACATGACGTTTGATTGGCCATGATACAAGAAAGTTATTGAACATTTATTATGGTGTATCCTGATTTATTTGGACGAAGGGCGGAGACTCGCGCTTCGCACTCGTCACCGCCCTTCGTCCAAATAACTCCGGATACACCATAATAAATATACAATAACTATTACCAGTATGTCTGAAACATGTGATAAAGAGAAACTTTGGCGGGTTTTGGCAAGATAAAAAATAACGAGATAACAAACAGTATTCAAGCTCAAAAGTCCAATAAATAATTAAATTTTTGGAGCAGAGCAAGCACGCGTAAGGATCTCTAAAATATCAGAGGTGGGATCGGATGACATGGATGAGTGAGCATCCCTTGTCAACGGTCACACCCGCCGTGTGCTACTTGTCATAATCAGGAAAATTTATGAAAAATCCGTCGACAATTTAGTGTGTAAATAATGGCCTAACAATTAGCATGAAAAACGTCAAGGGATATGATTTCTGCGAGGTTCATAAATCATACAACTCAAAGCATACAAAACATTATCTTATAAAAAATATTGGAGATCCAATATCTATTGAACAGTAATCTAATGCAGAAATATAAATCACCTGGGCAGTCATATGGCAATATTGGAACCTGTTTATATACGAGAGGCATAAACAATCGTAAAATAATTATCCAGCGTAAATGACAAGCAAAAACTAAAATACAAGCAAATTTGATTGAATCTAAACATCAATGAATTTCTATAAAAGAATGGAGAAAATGGAAAATGAACTCTACTTATTTTGGTTTGGAATAGTGTGAACAACCTAAGGAATGACAGATTTGATGTTCTTTTTTTACAATTTTTTTTTTTTCATTTTTTATTTATTATGGCCACATTGATCAATTTGTGGAATAAAAATATATATATAACACACTTCTTTAACTGCTGATTATAAATTCTACAAGTTTTCACTAGATTGTTGAAGAGATCGTTGAGAAAGTGCTCGGTCAAAATAAAAGTTAAGCAATTTCAATACCGGTATGTCCCCTGATTTGTGTTCTGGGGAACATAATAAAATTTTTAATAACCACCACTGAGACGTTTTTATTGTGCGATTTTCAATTTGTGCTGAGAACGGGAAAAGGTTCTATGGACAGAAACTTAAGTATAGTTATGTATCATTTAAATTGCGAGTTCTAATGTTCGTCAGAAAAAGATTTCGTTAAACACAGTGACCCAATCCCTGATATCAGCAGTATCCTCCTTTCAACTTTGTTCATGGTGTATTTGGTCATTTTTAAATAGGAGTCATTTTCCTGTTTGTTGTACATGTAGAAAACTGAACTCTAAAGTTCTTTTTAAGCATATAATGTTCATTTAACTACCGAGTTTTTTTAGAGAATTACATAGCTGTCGGCATGTAAATCTTGTGCTCAATTTCGGTAATTAATGAGTACATGTGCGCAACTTGAAAGCTGTTTATTTTTTACTGAGAATAAACTAGAGGTACTGTGAGCAATGAGCTCACTAAATGATACCCCCCGCCTCCCATATGAATATAATGGCAGTGTCCATGTTTTGCTCTGGAAAATCAAAAATGTATGTCAGATCAAAAAGTAAAATAGGAAGTGCACAATGGCAATATGTTATTAAGAATCTGTTAAAGTTTCATTAAATTTCCTTTAGTGGTATGAGAGGAGTTGCAGATAAGAGATGGGTACCCCAAAGCGTAACAGACGAACGGACGGACAGTCGGACGGACGGAAATTCCGATTACTATATACCCTCCCACTTTTCAAGCGGGGGGTATAATAAACAATTACTATGCATGTTATATATTTTGTTCATCAAGAACATGCCAAATGCTCTTTATAAACGCATTCGCTTTTCACAAAGAACTATCATTCAAAAGTATTTACAAACAGACATACAGTGCTGCATATGTAAGTTAACTAATGTACAATTACAGTCGAAGTATTTAAATATCGACCGACATATACATGTATGTACCAATATCTAAAATTTCATCGATTATAGGAAGGTATAAAAAGCCGTAGACCTTATCCAAGTCTCATACTGAAAAGAAGATTTGTGAATCTGAATTCGCGGTATGAAGGGTCCTAAATCAGGATTTACCCCATTAAAAATATCAACATTAGTTGTTACTGGGATTGCTCTAGTTGTACATATAGCTGCTGTGGCTTATCCTGTCTGGGACCAAATTGATGCTGCTTGGAAAGTACCTCATGTTCCAGTGTTTCAAAAAATTCAAGCCAGTGGTTCTCTTTGGGATTTTACAAAAAAAGTGGATGAAACTGGCCAATTCTTTCCACCAGTATTTTCTAAGAAGTACACAGGTTTGTAAAACACAAACTTGGACACAAGACGCATTTTTATAAAGATTTTATTTTGAATGAAATATAAATTTGACGATTTAAAAATCGAGTATTAGCATGCGTAATTATTATACCCCCCGCTTGAAAAGTGGGAGGGTATATAGTGATCGGGATTTCCGTCCGTCTGTACGTCCGTCCGTCCGTCCGTCTGTCCGTCCGTCCGTCTGTTACGCTTTATCTCTTATCCGCAACTCCTCTTATACTACTGAGTGAAATTTAATGAAACTTTCACAGAATCTTTATTACATATTGCCATTGTGCACCTCCTATTTTACTTTTTTATTCGACACGTATTTAAGGTTTCCCATAGCAAAACATGGACATTGCCATTATATGTTTACCTATGACTCAAATAGAAGCTTCTAGATAACATCTGATGGGACGAGTTATTCCTCTTTACACATTACCGTAAAACAATGTATAGCAAAACATGGACATTATGGGAGGCGGGGGGTATCATTTAGTGAGCTCATTGCTCACAGTACCTCTAGTTTTGTTACTGTACATTCTTCTTCAAAATCATTCAAAAAATAATGTAAGTTTGCCCACTCCCGACTAAGAATTAAGAATCTTCGCCGGTAAGTACAATATAGGTGGAATTAATTTTTGTTTCCTGAAAACATTAAACATCTTTGATGGATTTTCACAATACGTTGAAAAAATGAAACTAGAATGAACTAGAGGTACTGTGAGCGATGAGCTCACTAAATGATACCCCCCCTTCATATAGTTATAACTGAAAAGTCCATGTTTTGCTGTGTCCTGGAAACCCAAAATATAAGTCGGATCAAAAAGTAAAATAGGAGGTGCACAATGGCAATATGTAATAAAGATTCTGTGAAAGTTTCATCAAATTTCATCTAGTTTCAAGCGGGGGGTATAAAAAGGTTACCTGGAAGTTAACAAAGGTTTTGATTCAATACATTTTAGCCAGTCGATCAGGAAAGGGGAAACACACAATTTTTTAAGATGATCGTTTTCCCTGCCCAATTAAAAACTTGTTATAACTCATTGAGCAGCCATGTAAACCATATTTATCTATACCGTGTACATCTGAAAATGTGCGTCTGAATATCATTTTTAACTCATAACAGTTTAATTAACATGTAAGATTATTTTTACACAGAATGGAAAGAACCAATTAAGCTGATGGAGTTGACAGCAATAGGAGTTGGTGCAATAAGCATCGTACTGTTGATTATGTCAACCTTTATTGACAGACGTATAAGCAACTACGTCATTCTTCTGCTGAGTAGAATGGTTGCCATTACAGCTCTCATGTGTACATGTAAGTTTTATTTCTTGAAATAGAGAGCAACAAGAAACGATCTTGGAATTTACGAAAAACTTATTTCAATATACTAGTACATGTATTGAGATGGAATATTCGGGAGATACTAACAGAGAAAGAGACTTGGCATTTCTTATATATTACTTTATCTTGGTTGCAAATAAGACCTCTCTCTGAGTCGTGTTTTGGCTGACCTTGTTTTACATCAATTGTTGACTTTTGTTTTATAAATACATTTGACTTGGAAATTTCGTCTACTTGTCAGTACATTGGGCTATTGGTGGATGTGATCGCTCGACAAAAAATGAATGCCTTCTCATCCTAGGCACCCGATCGCAAAGTGTATTCAATATGTTAAATAAATTTCCACATACATATCTTTTTTGTTTGTACTAAAAGTGAAGTTATAGGCGAACTCGAATCAAAACTTCATACATACAGAGACGGTACGAAGCGATATATGTGTGGCGATATATTTTAAATACGTCAAGACATAATTATATTGAAACGTACGTTGGTCCTGTGCCCACGTACAAACGGAAGGACTCTTGAAATAATATATTTGGGCTGATGAGGATTTTCTGAGAAAGAGAGCCTAAAAAATATTTGTTTCTTTCCTGTAAACCGAGCGACTTATTCAAATTGCTGCCATATATGTGCCGTGTTATCAGCTGATGGAATAATTTTTACAAAGAATGCTAAGTGTAGTATTGAGATATAAATATGTCATCCAAGTCAACCTTCACTTAAATGTGAAGAGTAATGGTCAATTTAATATCGTCTAGCACTTCCTCCTCCAATTTTATTAACTTAATGTTCTATCGCAAGACAGCAAAGTTGGGTGTCCACTGTTAATTTTCCAAAATATTTGATGGTATTAAATTTTGCCTATGTGTCCCTTGATGGACTCGTATAGAACCTTTATCTGTGGGTCCTTTGGATCCACAGAAAATAATTCTGAATTTCGAACACTGCCTAGGTATAGGCGTTTCTATTTAAATGAGCTATTAAAACTGCATAATGTTTATCTAATATACAGAGAAAATTTTAAATTATTTTATGCAGACTTAGTACCAACAGCATGTATAATCCAGTGCATTTACTATTCAGCGATTCGCTTTGTTGTAAGCGTCGTCAACTTAGAAGCATATTTGCTTTAACCAGGTTCTACAGCTTATGTTTCATTCATAAAATTTAAAAAATTCATGCAATTGTTCTTTTTTCAGCACTAGATATTATGCTTGGGGCTATGTTGTACAAATACCAGTTTAAAAAAACTGCAAGCAATTATGCCTCAGATGTAAATTTGGGGTATCCCATAGACAAGTTTGAACTTCAGATGGGTTGGAAATTGGAGTGTGCTGCTGGTGGCCTATTTCTTATGGCTACTTTAATTGCCATTGCAGAGTCTCTACACAATCCTCCTTCAAAAGATAAAAGCTCGAAATCAGTCGTACCTTTTGAAGAGAAGACCAACAGCAACAACAACAAAAATAAGGAGGAAGAAAAAAAGGAGAATAAAAAGGGAAAGTTGGTTGTGGAAGACATTGACGAAAACCCGGGGAAGAAATCTTAAACATGTTTAAAACTGACATTTTCACTAAATATTTTAGCGTATGTAACATACACAAGTAATTAGATGAAAATGATGAGCTGTAATTTTAATGCTTCATTGTACCTGTACATGTATTAGTTTTCGATAGACATGATTTTAACCAGAGTAATTACCCATTGGTCGCAATATTTTATAGGGCAATCCCGAATTTCATTATCATTAACCGATTTAAACTTCTTATAAAGGCATCTAGGTGAAGATAATACAATTTTTCCGAAGAATAAAATTGGTTGCTCAAGAGTAAAATTCGCTTGTTAGACCTCCAAGGTGGCAGATTTGATTTGAAGTGTTTTTTCTTAACATTATGTAAGGCAAATTAATGTAGCATTTATATAAACATGGGTAGTATTAAGAAGTATATTGGAACAGTGACACTTTTCTTTTAAAAATTTTATTTAAATAAAAAAACATGTTTTGAAGTGTTCACTTTTTCATCCACATTTTATTAATAAGCTCATTTAGAGATCGGGCTCTCTGGATTGGCATCGTGAGGTTAATCACTGGTAAGTGAGATACCGGTATGTTATATATTAAATAATATTTTTATTTCATACCGCATTACAAAGTGCCGGTACAGGTCATCGTCGTTTGAAGACATTGTTCAAAAATGTCTTTTATCTTTTATTGTGAACAGATGAAAGTGATCAGAAATAAAGTTATGCACATGACACTTGCAATAGTTTTGAAATACAGGTCACCACTTTATCAAAATCTTAAATGGAAAGGTTATTCAATTCAATATACAATATATATCTTAAATCACGTCGTTCTTTGCGAGAGATTTCTGTTAATCTTACAACTTAAGTAGTTTAATCCATTATTGATTTAATATATTATTTAAATTTTTACAAACCTTGTTTCAAAAGAAAACTTTATCATCCTTATAAAATTAAAAATTTGGAAAATGAACAACATGTACTCATGAAAAATGATAAGTGACTACCGTGACACTTACATCCATTGTCACATAAATAAATTGCTTTGAAATTTCACAACAATGAAAATATTGAGAATGTACGATGCTTTTTAAAGATATTTTTATTTGCAAGATCAGGAGTTTATGAAAAATCGAAGTTGTTAGACTAGGAAACATCTGAACTTGCTTATGAGGTATGAAGTGTCCCAAAAACGATTCAATACAGGTGGTAGAGGATAGTTTCGGATTAAGAACCGCCAAACGTTTGAAAAAAAAATGATAAACCTAAGGTTTGAATGCATATTATAGTTGATTTTATTGCTAAAATGTTTTAAGTTTACTTAAAATTTTTTATTGTAATCAATAAGTGTCCTCCTTGAATGTGAAAGTCTGAAATACTGTATAGCTGTGCTTTGTAAATGGTAATTTTGTTCCATGTCTTACCGTGGTAGAAGAGGCAGAGATTGACCAATCAAAGTGGCGTTTTCAGACCCATTTTCATGATTTTTCTGTTAAATCTAAGTGGTAATTACTGTAAATTTGGATTATCTCCCTTTACAAAATTGGTTTTATTTCTCATCTTGATATCTTGTGTCTGCTAAAAATTATATGTCATTATTAATAATACTTTTGAGAATTTCAAACAAATTATTAAACGTCACAAAGGTGGCAACACACGACAAACTGTTTTACAGACTTTTTACTCATTGAAGGAGGATAAGATAAGGTGTTCTAGTGTTGAAAGGATTATGGAAAGAAAGTAACAAGTTGATGGGTAACCGGGGTATCAAAATACTTATTGCATTAAAATAAATAGATTTATGTGTGTATTTGGAGGGAATAATTGGCCTGGGTTTTTGTATTGATATATGACACTTTAGTGTCACTACCACTGTTTATGGGATATGGACTAGAAATTCGAAACTAAATTCAAAATTCACTCTTCTATGATTTCCTCAGAAAAGCGAGGTGGGTTCATAGGATGAATTGTAGCTTGAAAATGAGGTGGTTGAACCATTATATCTTGCTGCTCAGTATGTACAGGTGCTGTTATATATTTTGTGTGGAAGCTTCGGGCATTAGCATGGGCATTGAAGCAGTTGCGGATCTGGCGAAAAAAGGTGAAAATATGCTTTTTCATGAACTTTTGAGATTATTCCTGTGCTTCTTGTGTAAGTTGTACATGTTTTATTCATAAAAGTTCCAACATCTTCAGGGGACTAGACTTGAAAAGTTTCAAAACACATCCCAACTTTAAAAACAGCATAAGCGCTTCTGATAATAAACATTTTAATGACGTGACATGGAAATGGAGACGGACTTGTTAATTTCGCTTTATCGTCTAGATTTTCTACAATAAATGCAGCTTCATTTATGCAAAAATTTACTAGAAACAGAAATTTTTTTGTTTGTACAATTTTCATTTTCAAACAAAAATTATCTAAGCCTGCTTACAATCCGAAATTACTTAAAGGCCGAGGTTTTCAACCGTACGGTTTTCCTCAGGTAAGTTTGGTGTGGGGTGGAGCTTAATCGAAGCGGCTGAGAAGCCCTGAGGGAACGACGCTGACTTGTGTATACTACCTATATTACACAGGATGTTACCTGAGTGTATTACCTGTTTGCGTTTTCCTACGACATTGTAAAACGAAGCCGTTTTTTCCATGTGTAGCTCAAATGAAATGCATGAAATAAAGCATTTTTTGTGGACAGAATCCTTCTAGAATTCTTTCTTTTAAAATTAATATTTTAAAGAATTCGACAATTTCAATATACTGCGTGTTTGTTAATCAAATGTTATAACGGAAATACATGTAGCACAAAAATCTGTCGTTATAATCTGGCGACAAAAAGGGAAGTAATTCAAATTACACGTCGTGTACGCAAAACGAAAAGAGAAATGGGTCATAATTAATTAAGGAGGCTCATTACACCACTTTTTGATGACGTACTACACAAAAAAAATAAACCTCCATTGTGTCGACCGAATTGCTCAGGGGACGAGTTGTATAGATACCTGTATAATATGACCCTGACCTTTAAAACGCTTTAAAAATAGATGAAACATGCGGTGTTGTAAACAGTGAAAACAAAGTAACGGATTCATTATGCATAAACCAAGAAGAATTGCTTTTAGGCAGAAACAAAAGAAAGCAACAGTCAAATCTTCGCCAAACAAGTAATGTCAATTTCATAGCCATGCATGCAGTGAACTCTATCAATCACTGACATGTATGTATGGAGGAAATTCGAGTTAAAATCTACAACCTTGTTGAAATTAAAATTTTATTTTATTGCGCTATTTACTGTGTTGGTGTTAATTAATATATTTGTTTTATTGATTTAAATGTATACTCTGGCAATTTAAAGCTTTATTCTGAATTTTAGATGTAATGTCAAACGTTTCATAGTGTTTTGAGTCTTGGCTAATTAGGAAAGATAACTCTTGAAAGTGGACTTTTTATACCAAATATTTTTTAAATTGGATTTTTCATTTGCTTTAAACTTTCTTCATTCAATTTGACACATGTAATTCATTAAAATACATTCCTTATCTCTTCAGAACACATTTTTTAAATGTTTTATGCATAGATTAAAAAGATAATGACATTAATTGTTTTCTAGGAGAAAATTATTTTTTCTAATAAAATTATTATTAGGTATTATGAGGTATTTTCACTGTGTGTACTTGTCTTAAGAAGATGACCATCATTTGATACTGAAAGTTCTGAAATTCTGTGAATAATAAACCTGAAATAAGACATTTCACTAAAATAAAACAAAAACTAAAAAAATTCTATAAAAAATATTTATGATATCAATACCCCCATCTGGATATTTGACATCTACATTATAAGTGGTGCTGTATTGAAATCTAAAATAAACTGTGGATGTAATGAGCCACCTTAAGTCTCTCGGTAAATAACAATTAAACTTAGAACCATGTTTTGAGAATAAATTGTTCAGAAATATTATCGTCTAAATCAATATTTTTTTTTGAAGATAAACCCTACGTGATTTACCATAACGCATGGTCTGTAAAAATGGCCAGGGGTTCAGATCGGAGATCGGAGATGATTCCCTGACAGCTAGGCCTATGGGTGAAACGGGAATGGAAACATCAGCATCATACATTTTTCTTTCGGGATTCATAATTTCAAATATCAATTAAATGCAAAGCAAGATGTTATTATAATCTCTTCTAAAACTGGTTAAAAATAACGTCACTTCGTCACCATGTCTCGAAGAATTGGCTACATGTACAAATTTGCCTTATAAATAAATATAAATTTCACTTGACTCCTGAACAACGTAAACAGTAACAATGTTGCCATCCTTGTTTTAAAAAATAATTTTATTTAATTCCATGATACTAGCGGTGTCCAGTCACTTCGTACACAAACCGAGTCGTACACAAACCAACTCGTATACAAAAAGTCAACTCGTACACAAAAACCAGAAGTCAACTCGTACACAACATTTATATACAATCGTTATGATTTAATTTTATACAAATAATGTTAGATAACACGAAGTGTTACTTTTCCCTAGTTTTTTCCCTAAATATTTAAATAATTCAACTTCCCTGATAGGAACATCAAAGGCATCAAAGAAGTAGATCGTTAAACCAACACATGCGCGGTGGTTTCTTGAATCTGCGACAAACGCTAATTACGAGATGCTCATAATTTCGTATCCTTTAATTATGAGATACTATATGTATCGAAGACGTCAGCAAGGCGGTAACTTTCCAAAACTGTTTTTTAATTTAGATAAGTGTAAGAAAAATGTGTTATACAGTATACCATTAAATTCTTACCATGTACAATGTATTTAAATCGCATTTACTATCTACATGTACACTATATAACTATTTAACATAATAAATTTGGATGCTATGAAATATTATATTCTACATCAACATGCATTACTTGCATAACAGAAAACTTTTTAGAAATATAAAATCTACGTATAATAATTTTGTTGACAATTAGAAATCCATTTTAATTAAGTTTTTCAACAACATATTTAACAAATAAAATATTTAAATTTACAATATACACTGTAAGAATCATTTAAGATAATTACGTTTATTTAAGAATTAATTTAAGAATTAAGAA